AAAGCCAGACATTAAACGCAAATTATGCAATAAACTAATGAACAATTATAGTATGTGTATGTCTAGTATGATACCCTTCTCACGAATAAATGTCCAAATTCTACAAATCAACACTTAAAATCCTTTTCAATGTGTTTGTTTAATATCCTTTTCAATTTCTATCTATAATATATTTATTTTTTTTTGAGAAAGAATAATGATATTTATTAGCATTAATGTGAACGAAGACTATGAAGTTGTGAAGTACTACTGTATGTACTGTATGACAAAAGTGTGAAAAAATAAACATAAGGACAAGACAGCGTGAATGAAGGCGAACGGTGCGATGTGATTTGGCTTAAACATGAATATAATGTTTTATTGTCTAATCTTTTAGCTAATTTCGGATCTCCCTTACAAATAATGTTGTTAATCATAATTTTTTTTAAGTCAAACATGCATGCATGTGGTACGTTACTAGTCTATTAGGATACTCTTTGTATTTGTTAACAACTTTTGTTGGTACCCAATTAGTAACACATTGAGCCTGTTCTCACCGATTAAAATCAGGTGAACTGAACTGAACTTATTAGAGCTGAACTGAATTGAAATGAATATTTTATAAGAAAAGGAAATTAGGAGCTAAAATGAACTGAGCTAAACTAAACTGAAAATAATCGTATGAGAACAAACCCTAATTCCCCCCCCCCCTTTTTTTTAACTCCCTTCATCCTTTTTACAATGTACTCATTTCAAATAGTTAGATCAAACTTTAAAACCTTTGATTATAAGTTCCAATTTATCACATAAATATGTTTGTATATCTTTTAAATATTAAAACAAAAGAATTTTGTTTCTCCAACTTGTAGACTTTCTTCCAATAATGCCCTTACAGTAATCACAATAAGATTCCTCATGGAATTCATGGCTTGTTCATGAAACATGACACAAGTTTAATCAATTAGATAATGACTACTCGTATATGTATGTTTATTTTTTAATCAAAATATTTCATGGGCCCACAATGTTATGTATTTCTTCCATTTCTATTTTTTTTTCCCGTTGATAAGATTTGGGCCAAATTTAGAAAACTTTGACCATAAATTCTTGTTAATGTATAAGAGTTTATATAGTCATGTGTGGTTTTGTTAAATTCAGATTGTCATATATTTTATTAATATTTTTATTAAGCACATAGAAATAAAATTATAAAGATATATGTATTTTAATATGTGTCTAGGAAAATGTGATAAGACAAATGAGGTAAACAATAAGGGACAGAGGAAATATCATGTAAAAACTTCATAAAGTACTTTAATATCTTCCACCATGTTCTGACTGACTGAAATGAAGTGAACTGAATTGAATATTTTATGAGAGAAGAAAGTTAAAAACTGAATTGAACTTAGTGAAGTTGAACTGAACTAAACTGAACTGAAAATAATATGAAGAGAACAGACCCTAAGAACAAGCTAAGCTTATCACCAGGTACCTTGCTTAATTGGTTCTCTACCTAAAGTAAGTGTCGTTTCCAAAGGATTGTTATGATTCCTTATGTTCCTCTTTCGTGTAAGTATTTCTTCTAATGTGGGCAATCAGTTTGAATTTAAATGCGCTTGAGTGCTTGACAATACATGCAACTACCTACAACGCTACAACTACTTTAAGACGACTCACTAAATTTAAGAGGATTGAGTGAGTTTTGCTATTAATGTTAAGAGGATTATTATTACAATATTAAATTGGACTTTGACGAGACTTGCTAATATATTATCACTATATTAGAATGTTTCCTTTTACGCATATTATTGTGGCCGGATTCCGTGGTACTTTACTACTTTGGGCCTTTGGGGACATATATGAAGGTATTATGGGTTGCTAATATATATTTGCATATTGTCACAAATAAATTTCAACATGATCACTTAATATATGTTAAGTATTATTTGTGCATGTGCTTTGAATGCATGATTTAGATCACTTTGGTGTATCGGAGAATCAAAAGTATTTTTTTTCCTCATTTCTCAATTGATTAATTTTCACATGACCATACAAGTAAATGAAAACCAATTGGTTGTTGGTGTAGTGGTGATTGAGACTACACTTGATAGGGAGGACTCGTGTTCAATACCCCGCAACAACAATCGGGAGAAGAGTGGAACCTAACTACCCAAAAATGATCCACGAATCTGAATTAGCCCAAAGGGTTAACCGGGTGGAACACCAAAAAAAAAAAGTAAATGAAAAAAAAAGTCTAATATATAGTCTTCGATACACTTAGGGCCTGTTCTTTTCGGCTTAATTTCAATTCAGTTCAGTTCCAATCAGTTCAGTTCAGTTCAATTCAGTTCCTAATTTTCTTCTCTCATAAAATATTCATTTCAGTTCAGTTCATTTCAGTTTAGCTATGAGCTGAGCTGAGCTGAGTTGAGCTGAACTGAACTGAATTGAAAATAAACGTATGAGAACATACCCTAATTATATAACAATGGAGCTATGGAGAATGAAGGTGGGGGATTAGAAATTGATAAATCAAGAGAGTCATTCTATCGAAATTCTTTTGCAATCTATGCAAGAAAATAGCCATTATATACAAAAGATTTTTGGTATGTTTTTTTTTTTTTTTTTTTTTTTTTTAAATACACATATGGACAAAGGGGTTGAGTCAGAGTTGGGCCAAATTTGGGTCCGATTACAATAATGTATTAATGTACCTGCTAGATAAGAAAATGAAGCAAACAATTCAAGAGTGCATTGTTGATTCTTAAGCAGAATTGTTATGCATGGTTGGGCCACTAAGCTTTTTGACAAGGTTAGATTTCCTTATTGTTTGTCAATTACTACCTCCGATTCTTATTACTCGCAACAAAGAAATATCTTATATCTCAAAGAAATATCTTATATCTCATAAATAATACTTCTTTGTTGAGAGTAATAAGAACCAGAGGTAGTATATTATATTCCTATATATTATACGGCCATATATTTTGTACCATTGTGACGGTTAAGGTTAATCAGAATCCTTCAATGACTATAGCTTTGAAAATATGGTCATTTCGTTCTTTTTTACTTGCATCATTAGACTTTTATATAATTTACAAGTTCAACTTTGATGATATTCTAATTTATAGAGAATGGAATTAAAGTTATATACGGAGTAGAATCTAAACAATTGCTCCATTACTAATAAATCCCTTGTCCTCTTCTATGCCTAGGAGAGATTATCATTAGGTCCCTACATCTCACTTTTAATATTGTTTCAAGTTTAGTTGTATTAAGAGAACACATATTTATGGAGATTAACACGTTGAATTAGCAACAAGTTAGAGAAAAATTATCAAAATCATATCAATAAAAATGAAATGGAATAATATTACCCCCTCCGTTTTTAAATACTTGCTCTAATTCTCCATGCGCGGAGTTTTTGGAGAAATTGAAGAAAGTAATAAAATATGAAAGTAGTGGGTTAGGTGGAAGAATATAAAATTGTAAAAAGTAAAAGTAGCAAGTATTTAAAAACGGAGGGAGTAATATTTAAAGATGCGAATAAAAAGGAAAACTGGGTCATTCTTTCAAAGACACATAGCGTACCACATACGGAGTAACAATCAATCAATCATATTAGAAACACTACTACGAGTACTTTGAAATTAATAAATTATACTAGGAAATATTTTCCAACAAAGCAACAATCATAGAGAGAATTTTAATATATTTCGTGAAATAATTTTCTCTTGAAAATAAGCATTCTGTTGAAAATAAATGTACAACCCTTTTCTGGTAGTAGAAGTTATGATGGTTGTTGGCAATCCTTCCTAAAAGGAGAGGATTGTGTCATTTATTATGCTATAAAGGTAACTTAACAGTTTTGGTATGGATGCTAAATTTTGGAGTTTCAAGTATACTTTGTTCTGCACTATGAATTGCATCATGTTGTATACATTACTAAAAATTTCATAAGCTCTAAAATTAGGCTACATAAAAGGGATAAATAATTCATCCCTAGGATTTTTTATTTATGAACATGAATTGTACGCTTTATTATTTACTTGAAGGAGGTACTCACCACATGCACGGCAGATTGGCAGTGGGCCGCTCTAGGACCATGCCATATTGCCATGGCCTTTCAGTCGTGGCATGATTCGTGTTGTGTTGTGTCATGACTTGTGTCTTGTTAAATGGATATGTCATTCCTTACGCGTTTTATATTAAGGGTTTTTTTTATTTTTTTATTTTGGAAGTGACTTTAACCTCTTTCTGGACCGTGCCTACATCTTACTACCGTGGTAGGTGGGCCTATGTACTTTCCTCCGCTAACCTGGCTCGCTTAAACAAGTTCGCCTAGCTAAAAATTTGTGCTTATACAAGTACGAAATTACGAAGCATACAAGTATATTCTTCGCCACTACAACTCTACAACAAATTGACTAATGTAAGTTTGATTTGTTGATATAAATGATATGCTATTTGAATTTGAACCTATGCAGAATATACTTCAATTCCTACTTACATTTTGTGACCTTTTGTTACGGGAATGGACATTTTTAATCAATTGATGGCTACATTTCTCTTTTCTCATTTTAATTTTATCATTCGGCCTCTTACCCCGGCCCCAACCAAAAGGAAAAAACAAAAATGAGAACAACAAGGGCTTGAAAAATAAGATGATTAAATATAAAAATATTTTAAATGCTTCAACCATCAATTTAAACTTTTAATCGAGTTGTACATTCTCTATCAATTTAATAACACAACAATGTAAATTAAATCAATACGCTAATGATACAAAGTATCTAAATTCATGATTTTATTTCTTCTCTACCAGACTACCACTAATACAAAGTAATATTTTTGCAATCAACGTAAAATTCACACTTAAAACTACAAAATGAGGATTATTATATATATATATATATATATATATATATATATATATATATATATATATATCCCGTATATATATATATATATATATATATATATATATATATATATATATATATATATATATATTCTAAAATTACAAAGAGAACAAATTCATTAGGATATTAATTATACAAAAATAAAAGAAAAAAATAACTACGTAACGTAGTATTAAATAGTCCAAATAAAATGCATGAGAATATTACATACAAGTATTATAAGTTAATTACCATAAGATTTAAGGGTGGCACCACAAAATGAGCAAATGATAGCTTTCCAATACTTAAAGTAGAAAGGGACGAAACAAAATCGGGTGGCCGTCTTCATATCCGCCACTCTCGCCGCCGCACCACACCGCGAACACATCCCTGCAACCGGCCTTTGGCTTTGCATTTCCCTCTTTTGATCCACTAAAAAACATGAAAACTCCATTTTTCTTATCACTTGTTAAGTAAAGTACAACTTCTTTTGCAACTCTCTTTTATATTGTACTAGTATTTTGTTTTAGCTTATTATACTACTGTAAAATTTGGTTGTATATTTGGAGTGTCCTAGTAAAAAGCATTTAATTATAGGAGTTATTATCACCTTACCACCTTGGGGGTGGGGACGTGGGGTATAATGTATGATACTTTTAGGTAAATGTTTGTTTGATGAGATGTATCATCTATTCAAGGCTAGTTTCCATTAGAATTTGTAAGCTTTATCTAGTTTTGAATTTTGAGGAGATAAGTATATATTAAGGAGGTATTGTAGATTTGTAGTCTAGCTAGTGGTATAGATTGTGATAACTATGAGTCTATGATGACACCTTCTAGAAGGTTGATGGATTTTGTTCTCAAAGCTTTTTTTTTTTTTTTTTTTTACTAAATTTAACTTATTTTTGTTGGTTTTTTTTTTAGCATTATTTGAGCTCAGTTTAACTTATTAATAAATTCTTAATGTAATTTTTATTTTATTATTATTAAAAAAATTATTTTTACCGAATATAATTATATAACTTTATAAAGTTTTAACCTTTGAGTTTAAATCCTTATGTTAAAAAAAAGGGTTGAATCCAAAGGTGTTTGATGATGTTATTGGGCCTCTTGGTGGTCCTTGAGAAAAGACAACCCAAAAAAATGATCTAGAAAGTTTTCTTAACCTAAGAGGAAGTATGAATTATGCAAATTTCCTCATTATTATCATGAACATGTAAGATTTCTTTGTATTATTGTAAGCCAATTTAACTTTTAATTATATACTTGTCTCAAAGTACAAACTTCTCAGTAATATGAAGTATATATTATGTTCATACAACCATTTTTTTGTATGTATAATACAAATGACAAGTACTTTTGTAGTTTTGTAGTGACCTATTTTAATTTGAATGACTTTATTTAACCATCATAACTCGTTAAAACTTTCAATATTTTCGGGTGATTTTATTGGATAGGCAACAAAGTAAAATCACAAGGAGTAGAATATAGAGCAACTACGAATTTGTCTACTTCATTGTCTTGTAGGGTAATTGAGTTTACATATGTACGTTATATCGTGTTAAACACTTAAACATTAGAAGGTATGATTGTTATGGTCAAATCTTAGAAACAACATAGGTTTAGTAGGTCAAAATGTGCATCGAGATCTCCCATAACACTCTCAATTGTAAACTTCTTATCCTCAAATTTAAATGAATTATAATAAATTATTGTAAATCCGTCTCATATAACAGATGATAAAATATTAGAATCTTATATATAAACTTTAATTAATCGTTGCATATAGTCTTGTTAAGATGACATACAAAGAAAGATATACGTAACCACTTAAAAATTACTTGTGTATTACATGAAAATTATTTATTACAAAAAGGGAGTGAAATAATGAAATACTAGGTACTCCTAGCCAAGTTGGGCATTTCATTTCATTAATTAACAGTGAAGGAAGGTCGATGCAACTGCACAAAACTTGTTGGCGGCAAATTTAGTTTGGGGTTTGCAGTTAACAGTTTCCTCTCTCGGGAACTGGCACGTGACCTCAACACTTTGGAGCTCTATCTCTGTACTGTAGCTAGTTTATCGTACGGCTCTTCAAAAAAAAATAACAAAAAAACAAAAAAAAAAAATAACAAAAAAACAAAACAAAACAAAACTTGAAGCAATTAATTCAACAACTTAGACATGAATGTCACCCTTTCAACTTACAACTGTATAAAGCTAAGTGGTATTGCGGTTTGTAACAATTGTATGGAATTCTAGTCAGTAAAAAATTTATGAACCCAAATATTATAATGTATGTGGACAGTGGCGAATCCACCTAGTAACAAGGGGTAGCATATTTCGGTATAAATTTTTTAATACCGAACAGTTATACTAGATGCTTATCAATGCTGCAGTGGTAAAAGAGAATTTCCCAAGTTTGATGTTTTGAAGCAAGGTCACCAGCAGTTCGAGCCCCACTTCCCCCTAATTTTCCCCTGATTTCAGGATAGCCGAGCCGAACAGAGCAGATTTCAACATCTACCTATCTATACTTAGTATTTAAAAACACAAACCACAAATTTTTATATGACATATGGCATCACAAGTCACTCATCACACCATATGACACATGTTATCTCCCTTAATATTTATGTTTAAGTCTTTATGCATTATACAACGTGCAAATTCAAGTAAGAAAATGAAGTGTTTCATTTTCACCATAATAAAATAATGATTTAATTAATACACATTACATAAACATATAAATTATAATAAAAACTGTATTTTCATCTCCTAGACTTTAAATATAATTTAAAATAATATGTTATTTTATATCCCACAGTCTTCACGTATATATATATTTAACTAAATTAATTCATCTTCTTTCACGGTTGATAGGCCGTCGTCGAGCCTACCAAAGATAAACTCCTATCTTGGTCTCACTAGCTAATAGCAAGGGTAAGAAAGGGTCGAACCCAAGAGAGGCGTTGAATCAACCACCGAAATACTACCGCATAAATAAGCTAAATGAAGTCAAAATAGGTTTGGTTTTATGTAACAAGTGCTAGTTCAAGTCAACTAAAGCTAGAGGGAGATTAACAATATTTAGAGAGTTCTAGGGCTTGGGATACACCACTCAATTTCGTCACAAATCACAATTAGCAAGTAGCAAACAATGGTAATTTGAGGGGATAATATAGGGGAAGTCATCTAAAGCACTCAACTACTCTCTCAAGCTAGAGGGATTACTCGAATTATGAATACAACCTACTCTCGTGGTTACAAAGCATAAAACAAGTATTAAAGCATAATCACGATGACAAAAACATTCCCTTGACTGTAAATTCCTATTCTCATGGCATTTCAAGTCAATTAAGCATAAGGGAGCTAACTCAAGTTCATCTCTCGATCCTTCTTTGAGAAAGCTTAGATAATAGTTCTAGAAATGGCCATATACAAGAACTAAGCAATTAAACCACTTAAGCTCAACTAATTAACACCCAACAATTACCAAATTAACACATGCAACAAGTAATTAGTGATTACATTGAGGGTTTTACCCAAACCCTAGAAAATTAGACTACTCACAATCCATGGAGATTAAAGCAATTAAGGATTTCAAGTAACTCATGAACAAGAATCAACTAAAGATTAAGCTAAATAACAATCTAAGCACACAAGAATTAAGCGAGATAATTAACAATCAAAGCAATTAAAATGGAAGAGAAGAGTGAGGAAATGTTACTAGAAGCTTCAACTTGAATATCAATGGTGGAACTTGTCTTCTACAATGATTGAGAATGAAATTTCCAAGCTAATAATTATAGTCTAACTAATGATTTGAGAATATTTGTGTTTCTACAATTGCAAACTAAGAGGAAGCACTAAAAACTTGGATCCCGTACAAATGAGCTCAAGGGGTTATTTATAAAGACCCCCAAATAAAAAGGACGGAGAAAACAAGAGTCGGGTACGGCTACAGGTCAGCACGGACGTGCTGAGGTTGGCACGGACGTGCAGAGGTTGGCACGGACGTGCACCTGGGAGGCAGAAGGTACTGTTTTGGCCAGGGCATCCTGCATGGACGTGCCAAATATGGCACGGACGTGCACCTGGGAGGCAGAAGGTAATGTTTTGGCCAGGGCATCCTGCACGGACGTGCCAAATATGGCACGGACGTGCTGGCCTTGTTCAGTAGAATCAGTTTTGAAACTGATTTGGGCTGAGCAAACTGCACGGACGTGCAGGATCAGGCACAGACGTGCTGAATATCCTGCACGGACGTGCTGAGCTCTACACGGACGTGCAGGCCTTTAAAGCAGTAGGCAGTAGCTAGCTTCTGGTCGTGCTGGAACACTTTATCTTCTGTGCAGACTCTCTAAGGTCTTTATCTTCACTTTTCTTCGGTTTTGCTCCATTGTTTCGGCTTCTAACCTCGGTTTAATATCCAAATGCCTCAAATGGTTGTCTTTGAACCTAAAAACCCAACAAAAACACTAACAACCCTTGAAGCAAGGGATACACAAAAGTTGAACAAAAATAGAGTAAAAGTGTACCAAAATGCCAATATACCAAGTAAACAAGGTTCGAAATCACTCTAAAATCGTATCAAATAACAAGTTATCAACGGTTCTACCCTCTCTCTTTTTTCTAAATTTAGAAATGAAACGATTTTCCTACATATGAAAATAATTAACCCAAGTAACAACCCGTGCATTGAACGGGCCAAAAATCTAGTTATTATTAATACTATTATTAATGTTATTTTTTTTTTGAAAGAACTTAATGTTGTTGTTATTATTATTATTATTATTATTGTTGTTGTTGTTGTTGTTGTTGTTGTTGTTGTTGTTGTTGTTTAATTTTTTTTATTATTACTATTACTATTACTATTACTATTACTACTATTACTACTATTACTATTACTATTACTATTACTATTACTATTATTATTATTACTATTATTATTATTATTTATTATAATTATTATTAGTATTATTACTTTTATTATTATTGTTACAAATAATAATGTATGCCTATTATAGCTTAGCTTGTAATTTTCTCTTTTATGACTATCTTAATTATGGCTTTAATATCATCCTTGTAACTCTGCATATGACATTAGTTCTCATTAACCCTCTCATGAATGGACTCTTCATTGTATATATAGGTTACAATGTTCACATCATACATGTATATATATAGATGGTCATAAAATGGATGCATAAACACAATTGCCTATCTATATCTCTCTCTTATATTCTCCCTTTCCCCTTTTTTTATAACTATTTTTAATATTAATAGCTATTATAATTATTCAAAATAAAAAATTATTATCATCAATATAATACAATTTCCTATCTATATCTCTCTCTTATATTCTCCCTTTCCCCTTATTTTATAATTATTTTTAATATTAATAACTATTATAATTATTCAAAATAAAAAATTATTATCATCAATATAATATTAATTAATACTATTGAATATTAATTATTATTGTTGTTATTATTAATTATTATTTGAAAATTAAGCAGAGCAGAGCAGATTTGATTTGAGTGGAGCAAGGGCGCGACAGAGCAGAGCAAAGCAAAGCAGATCAGCTCTAAAGAACGGGGCCTTATTCTAACTCTTTGTTCCAAATCAATTTCCCCCCAGTCTTTATTTCTTATACCATTATGTACATATAAAAAGTAAAGCATTAATAATATTAATAGTAATTTAAAATTCTCCATTACTCTTATTAATAAAGATTTTATTTCATTTTCACAAATTATCTATGATGTATGGAGTATTTTATGAACTATAATGATAAATTATATACGAATTGTTTGTTAAAATAAAAGTACGGGTAAAAATCACTAGTATTAATTTCTAAAAATAATTAATTTGATACCTCATACCGTAGTGTTTTTTTTAATCGTAATTATTTTTTATAAGTATAATATATCTTAATAATTATTTTAAGTTCTCGGTCAAATGTATGCATGTCCAAAATCACATTGTCAATTAATAAGTAGCACAACAATGTACTAACACATTGCATTGCATCAATAACACCACTCAGTTTATTATTTTGCTAATCGTTTTTGTGGGAATTTTTTTTAATATGAATAGCTAAAATAAAGTACGGTTTTAATTTTATTTTTAAATTTT